CGGCAGAAAAATTTATAAAGTCTATGAATCTGTCAATCAATATTTTATTTTAACTGTCCCTCGCTAATTTTTTTACATCTCATTTTAACCCTTCCTCGTTACAAGTATATACTTGTTCGTTATTTTAGTGTGTCCCCCCCCTTTTTTGCTCTTTATTTTCGTTTTTTCTTTTCGTTTTAATGATCCAACGATTGTCTCCTGATGAGATGTTGGTCGATAGGCTTTTGAGACTAATAACATTAAAATCAATAAATTCTATTGTTTTAAACATATCATCTATCTATATATATATATATATATATATATATAATTACGTTTATTTTAAAGAATCAAGGAAGGAGAGTTCATTACATTTATTTCTATGCTAATACCCTTGGAAAATAGCAAGACAGATTGGGTCCTAAACTTTTCGATCTAGCGGACGGTCTAAGAAAGAGATAACACTGAATTCAAAACCTGAAAAACGTTTGGCATATTTTCATACAATTTCATGAGTTCTCTGTATTCGGCTATTCCAAAAAGTATAGTTAATTCTGGACAATCCTTCACCACTGTTATGTGTGGATAGTCTGGCTGTTAGTTCTAAGAACTGAACTGCTTGAACTTCATATGTCGAAAACGACGGCAGAGTCCTTACATACGTATATATATATATATATATATATATACGTATATATAAAAAAAGAAGAAGGTGCCGCAAACGTTTTTGGTTGTAATGTGGATATATATATATATATATATATATATATATATATATATAAGCCACGGTGGAATAGTGGATAGCGTTTCGGATTAAGGAACCGGAGAGCTGAGTAGGAATTTCAGTCGAATCCATTTGGGAAAGGTATGAATCCTCTTCTCCACCAAGCTATGGGAAAAATAGCAGGACAGACTGGCTTCTAAAGCCTTGGATGGCATCTAGTCTAGAAGAAGGACACCTCTGAATTCATAACCTGCGGAGGGTCGTTTGGGGGACCTTGTGGTACGTAGTGCGCTAGGTCTCTGTATTCGGCCCGTCAAAAATGTTGTTAGTTCTGCACAAAGCCTTCACCACTATAATCAGATCATATGTGCGGGTGTCTGGCTGTCGGTTCCTAGGTACTAAACTGCTTGGCTCTCATACATCGAATACGACGGGAGAGTCTCTCTCTCTCATATATATATATATATATATATATATATATATATATGTGTATGTTTGTGGTAGAACAAAATTTCTCTCTTTCAAACTCGATGCACCTTTGTAAATCTAACCATTGTCTAAACATTCAGAATGCTTTTTTTATTCTTTCGTCTTTCATCTGAGAAATAAGATAACCAGCTTTATTCTGTGAGGAATACTTGTCTTTCTACTGAGTGCTAGTAAAATACGCTTTTAGGTGAATATTGCAACATTTCTGAAAAAATCCTCTTACAAAGTTTTCGTTTATATAGACAATATATATATATATATATATATTTATGATATAATATATGTTAAAGCCTATTGCATAATAACAAATGTTTCAGCAATTGTTTCTGGGTCAAAATAATTTTCAATACAATTTCAATCGTTTTCCTCTTCCGCTGACAGGTTCAGAGGATCTATTAATAATACTCTGTTAATGTAATATAATTTCCATATACGGCGATAAAAATAAAATTTAGGAGATAAAGAGTTAAGTTTTAAAGACACCTTTTGAAGTATCTTTTTTAACCAGATCCTCTTTTAAATATATATATATATATATATATATATATATATATATATATATATATATATATATATATATATATATATATATATATATATAATAATGATTTTAAAAATATGATTCCTTCGTTCTTACATGAAAGCTTCTAATTTTTTAAAAACTTTTCTATTGGCTGAGGTCAATATAATTATTACCCTCAAAAATTAAACCTCTTTCATAATCAATATATATATATATATATATATATATATATGCACACACAGTGATTGAAAGGTAACTCCTATCATTTTTATGTTTGCAATGGACTATTGAGAGGACTATAAATTTTTACAAGACAGGAAGTCTATCATACATAAAATAAAAATACTACCTCAATCACCTTAGTTATATGCTATATCAGGGATATATATATATATATATATATACCATATTTTCGAATATAAATATTTTTCTTTTTTTTTTACCTTCTGTTTACCTGTTCTGGACAAGATCAGAGGCGGATTTTAGACTAATTGGCCAAATAAAACATATAAAAAAAAATAAGAAAAAATACAAGAACCGTATCCTCTGTCTTTTTCTACAAATACTTTCATGGTAATTGCTCCGATGAGCTGCTTTCACTGGTTCCCAGACTCCATGAATTCAAGCGACCTACGAGGCTGGCATCCCGCTCCCACCCTTACACTGTAGAAACTTTTAAATGTAGCCGTCTCTTCTACTCCAATAGCTTCATACCTCACACATCTCGCTTGTGGAACACCCTTCTCAATTACCGTTTCCCTGAGAGCTATAATCTCCAACTATTCAAATGTAATGTCAGGATCAAGTTACCTTGATCTACCCACTATCCTTCTCCCCATCCTTTCTTCTATCACTCCTATCTGCTCTCGCTCCAAATCTTCTGCAATCCTCTGCATCCTAGTGGCTTCACGCCTTGCTCGAAGAGTAATGCTTAAAAAAGAAAAAACATAAAACGAGCTAAGTTTTGATGCATTAAGGAAATTAATGGCGGTAATTATTTTCGACAAATATCTCAACTCAATAGGATTGTCGTAGATTGAGACAAAGAATACAAAACTATTCTTCTGTTTAGGTTTCATTTCAAGCAAAAGGCGAGAAATTTGATGCTACACAAACCCCCACTCAACCCAGCACTTACTAATTCCGTGGATGATACCAGTTATCTTAAGAACGTGCCAGACAAGACATATTAATAAACTTTTTTTCCGAAAAAGTAATTAAAAATAACTGTTTTCGAAATTTAAATAAAGATTAAACTTCTTCGAAAAGCAAAAAAAAATACATCAACTATGAATTAAAATTAATACGTATTTAACACAAGACTGTTCACTTTTTTTTTTTTCCATAGGAAATCCCAAATCTGAACAATAACAACCCCGTATTATTAAATTATTTCAATAAACGTATATATTCTTTTATGTGCCGTTTCCCTTTAAGACGTAGGTGTTCATGGCCCTCCACATACTCTTATCCCTTGTAGCCCTTAATAAGTTTCGTCTTTTTGTTATTTCTCTTAAACCCTGTCCTACCATCCATTTGTTCAAGCCCATTATGTATACCACGCATTGGTCCCCCTTGTCCCTCTTTCCCTCTATCTGTATTGTGAGTATCATATTTTCCGAGTCCCCTTTCCTCATTACGTGCCTCATAAATTTAAACTGTCTCTTCTTGATGTTAATTATAAGTCTTCTTTTTGTTTCCATTCCCTCCAAAACCTCGTCGTTGGTCACATGTTCGGCCCATGGTATCTTCAGCATCCTTCTGTAAAACTGCATTTCTGTTGCTCCGAATCTCTCCCTCTTTAATATGATCATCCAGCATTTGCTGCCATGCAGGAGAACAAATATCACGTAACCGTTCAGTACTCTTTTCTTTGTTTCTAACAATTTTTTTTCTGTTTCTAAATACCCTGCTTAGCTTACAATACTGAAACAGTCATAATGAATCGGGTTTTTATAGATTGTCTACGTTTATAGCATTTTACCAAACGAATTTAAGATTGGTCAATGTTTCTGATTAAAAAAAAAAAGGAGTTTGCTGTAAAGGGCTATTTTCCTTTTCTTACAAGGTCTGATGAGTAATTAATATTTGTTAATAAACTGCTGTTAAATATTATGATTAATAAATGATACCTGCTTCATTAAACATTGTCAGAAATAAATCTTACAAAAATGTTAGCTGACACTAAAACCCCAAAACACAGGTGACTTGAATAAATTTACTAGTATGAAAAATATGTTGACATTTACAACAGATATTTAGTTGCTTGATTGGATTCTTTTGAAATGACAACGATACCTATATTGAATTCTGTAGCATACGACCTTGGGAGCTCCTTATTAAAATAAACTCGTAGCATTCAAATGCTTGGTAATTCAATATGGCAACCCTGTTTCTGTAATCTTGCTTAAAAATATTTTCTTAAAGTAGCATTTTGATGGATTTCGTTCCTGATGCATACTTGACTTTGCGTTAAAGAAAGCCTTCCTAAGACTGAAATAATGATTTTTCTCTTAATTAATTTATTTCCCGTTGTATTTATTAATTTTAAATTAATTTCATTAATAATCGATTCCTTCCTTTTTGTTTTATGCTTTGCTTCTAATTTTTTTCTTTTATCCTATGATGTATATTCAATCTATTTTTCGTTTGTGCGTCGGTTCAAAATTGATAAAATACTTGACGAACTGCGTCTGTGTCCGAAACTCAAAATACTCGGTCCTTTTGAAAAAGTGTAGATGTTTATCTCCCTTTCACACCCAGTATCCCCCCATGCGTCTTAGTGGCATTATCGCTTTTCTTGGGGGTCATTTGATTAAAATAAAATTATCCTGACTCGTTCCTGTCATTATTTCTTAAATCTACAAGTATAATTTTCTCATTATTAGAACATCCTATTAAGAGGATTGATTTGTACTGATATCCATGCAAATAAATACATTGCATTATTAACTCCGTTCAGAGCACCTAGGCGTTGAATAATGGTTCACCAGCTTAGTCTATACTTATTACCACAGTGTAGTGAGTTTGATCCGAACTAGGTGTCTTTACAGGTTCTTTAAAGCCAGAAAATATTTTTTTTCAGATTATGGATTTTTTTTTTTTTTAAATAACGATTCTGTGATACGGTTCTTACTAATTACCTATTTAGCTTATCAAAAAAATAATGGATGTATATCTTTCCAAAATAAAATTTTATTAAAAAGGAATATTTTAAGGAAACCCAATTGGAACTTGGCTTCCGGTTACTAGGCATTATCGATTACACGAACCGCTTACCCAATCATACAGCACCTGGTATTCTCTGCTGGTTACCCATGTAGATACTGAAAATGCTCGACGTTTCTTAACTTCCGTGATCGTATGGGAACCGTTGTTTCAACGTGTTATGGCCGTAAGCCTGAGCCTATAAAAGCTGGATGCGTGAATTTGCGATCGGTTTGCCGATTCTGTTTTTTTTTTTTTTTTGCTCTGGGAATCGTTTACCCACCCTAAACTTTTTCGTATCCAGCGGATTAATACATAACTTGTTTAGCTACGAGGCATGTTGTACCAATGAATATATTGCTATTACAAACCGTTTAAATTATAGAACCATAAAAAGTATCTTTAATTGGTCTTTACACTTGTATGCCTAACTAACCAAAAATTCAGAATCTAAATTTTTTTTTTTTTTTTGCCCTTCACCAATTTGTTTTAACTTTAAGCTCTACTGAGCGATATTTTAATTTTCATGTGCACCAACGCGCAATTGCCTATGGCTTTCTTTATCTGAAGGAAGAAATTACGAAAAACATACGAAACTGATTTGGTACAAACTAAAAGAATTCCGTAAGGAGGACGGCCCAAAAGAGGGTGACAATTTCAAAAACAAGATAATCTAAAATTAGATTAAGGCTAATATTAATACATTTCCTCTCATGTGGGATGCCAGATTTTATTTCAACTTTATCAGAACACTGAGCGATAAAAAAAGTTATATATGTATATCCAAATACTTCATATATTGTTTTAATAACTGACTTGACAAAAACAAAAACATTTTCAGGCAAAAATTTAGATGTTATAGAATAACGAACTCGTTGCATATGTCTTGCGAGATGTGCATTGAAACGATTACATGTCAACTACAATGAGATACATTTTATTTTAACTTGTATACACTGAGAACAATGGTGGCATTGAGACTTTCTTGATGTCGTCACAAATACGCTGGGCTTGTGATGTTGCACGGATGAGTGACCACAGAATACTTTAAGTCCTCCTGCAGAGCTAGCAAGATAATCCTGAAAAAGAATACAGTTGGAGGCCGTGGCTTCGGTAAAACAAACGTGATAAAAGTAACCTCAAGCTGTCTAACACATTCTTAATATACTAACTTGAATTTGCCCTGGATGGAAATAACTGGAGATCTGTATTCCAAAGTGTTATTACGAAATCAGTCGTATTGACCGGCAAAGAGACGAAAGACAGGGTCGAAAAGCATCAGCAAATATTCATGTGGCTATGTCCCGAGATCCTTGCTGTTGAACAATTTGGCACGCAAGGAAATTTGGACTGAAGTGAAACATGTAAATAACAAACAAAAAAATGAATGATGTTTTCCGATCCTCATACGTCGAAATCGACGGAAGTCTCTGTCAAGATCTATATAAATAAATATGAATGTCAGTATGACATACTTTTTCAATTACAGGCCGTAGCCCAACATATCATACAATTTTGGAATCAGGCCGACTGCGTCAGCAAATTAAAAACAATCCGGATCTGATCCGTTATATGAATCCTGAAATTTTGGATTCCCAATTTTTTATTACTGCGATTGATTTCGGCGAATTTTTTTGCGATGAATTTTTTTTTTTATTTTCGTTTTTTACGAAAGTATTTTTATAGCTTGGAAATAAATATAGAAATAATTGAAATTAATAGTCAAATCTAGCGAAAGCCAGCCATGGAATAATATATTTCTTGTACGGAAAATAAGTCTTACGTACATCAAATTAAGTGGTAACAGAAGAATTATCGTTCAACTTTTAAAAGGTAAGCTTAAATATTAATGGAATACTTAAATGCAAATAGAAATTTTGATTTCTTCTGGAGTTTATTACTGCCTGTAGTGTACGGCAGCAGTATGCCCCGCAAAAAGAAATTTCGGCCAACAGAGGACCAGATGGCAATCAAAAGAGCCAAGGCCGCAGCGTGGAAAAGAAAGAAAAGGAGAGCTTCCAGTGCTGAGAATATGCAAAGGCTTAAGAACTTTCAAACAAGTCAAAAGCCCAATCAAGAAACCTCTTTTAAGCTTATATATATATATATATATATAACTAGACTCGTTTCGAAAAACCCTCGAATTTTTGATTTGCTAATCAAATCAATCTCGAGGGAAAAAAAGGTTTTAAAAAAAGAAAGAGCTACAAACATGAACTATGGATCTCCCTATGGGAGCGTTTGATGGGGCAGAGGTGTGCGAGATAGTAGGGTGCCTGCTGCTCCATAGGCTTAACGAATATATAGACTTTAATAACCATGGGTTGTACCGCGACGACGGTTTAATCATAGTGGACAATAGTAAGGTTATAAAAAATGTGACAACATTCGTAAAAAACTGCACTGGTTTTTAAAAAATTCGGATTTTATCTCGATATAGAAACCAATTTGAAAATTACCAACTATCTAGATATTACGTTGAATTTACAAAAATGGCACAATATCCCCGTATAAAAAAGAAAATCAAGAACCCCAGTATTTACACATAAAATCAAATCACCCAGCCCATATTATAAGGCATATTTCTAAAAATATTGGGTATAGACTTTCTACTAATTCCTCAATAGGGACATTTTGAGGCCAACAAAAATAAGTTATGAAGCAAGCCCTAATTAAGAGTGGACATAAAAATAAATTAGAATATATAGATAACAACAACATTACTCGGAATAAACATAATAGGCAAAGAAAAATTTTGTGGTTTAATCCCCCCTTTCAATTTAGCGTTAAAAACTAAAATTGGTAAGATATTTTTTAATTTACTGGAGCAACATTTCCCAAAAAAAAAACTGAGTTACATAAAATATTTAACAAAAACAATGTAAAACTTAGTCCCTACGTTCGGCATACAACAGTAACTATTATAAATGGATTGAATAAGAAAAAAACTAGGAATGATCCACGTAGTAATCCTCCTACTTGTAATTGTAGAAACAAAAATATCTGTCCATTAGAGGGAAAATGCCAGCAAGGATGCGTGGTGTATCAAGTGAAAATTTACAAAAATACTGAGGATACTAACCCTAAAACGTACATAGGTGCTACTCAGGATAAATTTAAAAAAAAGATATTATAACCACACGAGTAGTTTTAAGAATGCAAAAATTAAACATAGTACCACGCTATCTACCTACGTATGGAAAACCAAACAAGAAGATAATATAGACCCCATCCTTAAATGGAAAATATTAAAAAAATGCCCAAAATATAAAGCAGGCCATAAATTTTGCAAATTATTTTGCTGAGGAGAAATTAGCCATAGCTTTAGATGATCAACCTCACCAGCTATTAAACTCTAAAACTGAAATTCTCGATGTATGTAGACATAAAAAATCTTGGCTACTAAATTAGACGTTTTCCCGTTATTGACTTTCCACTGAGGATTTTTTTTTTTTGTTGAATAAATATTTCCCCCCACTTAGTTTTTTTTTTTTTTTGTTGTCACGTGGTATGATTTTAGCTATCACCTATAAATATGTGTTTCTCTTTGCCTCGTTAGCCAAACTTTCCCTGACGATCCGTTTAGGTGAAACCTAGGTAGGTTTGTCTGGCTCACTAGGTGTATATATATATATATATATATATATATATAGAGAGAGATATAGAGTAAGAACATTGTTTTCAGTGTACATGCGCAATTATTATATCCATATTATGGGCATCTATATACACACACAAACTATATGCATCCTCTTATATATATACACTGAATGATAAAAATATGTATTATATATATGTATATATATATATACATCAAATATATATAGAATATCCCTAAATATAAAAATATATATGTTAAAACACACGTCTATTACAGAATCTGGGATCAATATAAAGAGGCGTGAAAGAGGAATGGGGAAGAGAAGGACGGGGAATTAAGTCAAGGCGTCTGAAGATGTCGATTGACATTGCATTTGAATAGTTGGAGATTATAGCTATCATGGAAGTAAGTAAGAGGAAGGGAATTCCACATACGGGGAGTGCGAGACATGAAGCTAATTGCAGTAGAATATACGGCTACATTTAACAATTTCGTCAGTGAATGGGTGGGACTGAGTTGCCAACCAAGTAGCACGTTTAAATTCATACAGTTTGGGAACCAGCGAAAGTAGCTCGTCGGAGCAATTACCGTGGAAGTATCTGTAGAAAAGACAGAGGGAAGTGACGGTACGTCTTTCATAATGTGACTGTCGACGAGATGCCGGATCTGGGTCAATTATATTGCATGCCCGTCTCTGGATTTTGTCGAAGACCTTGAGACGAACAGCGGGGGCACCAGACCATATATGGCAGCAGTATTCCATGCAAGGGCGACTGGTTGATTTATAGATTTTGAAGGATGGACTTATGCGAGAAAAACTTTCTGGAACGACACACAAAACCAACTTTCCTTGCGGTAGATGAAGCTAGTGATTCAATGTATTTGTCCCAACCAAGCAGGCACAAAGCGACGCTCTCGTGGAGTTGAGCATCAAACATTTTAATGGGAGACAGGGAGTGTTCTCTGTGGTGGGTAAAAGAGAGCAGTTTTGCTTTTGAGACATTAAAGTTTACCAGCCATTTCTTTCTCTAGTCAACCACAGATTGAGGGTTGAATAATCTGAAGCATTCGGACGACAGCATTACTGAAATAAGCTACAATAATAGAAAAATTCGTGGAGAATTGTGATACGTCTTCTCAATAAATGAATAAATAACAATGATAAGATCAACTCTGCCAGTGATGTGGATAATGACGACGATGAAGTGGTATGTATGTTTCAGCGTACAACGCCAGGTGATTTAAAGAGGCTTCCGATTAACGTGTATCTCCTTCATGCAAACGCCAAGAAAGCAAAATGAAATATTTGCAACTTGTATCAAATGACAGCTCTCAGATCCAATTGAACCATGTTAATGCTGGAGTTTTCTGTTGTGCTTTGCAATACGATCCAAGCAATGTGTCTTTCATTCTTATTAGAATTATGAACGGAAAACTCCGAAAAAGTACAAGGGAAGAGCAAAACAACAACTGTAATATCAAAATAATAATAAGCATCTTACAATATGTTATACCGGAACATACCTATTCTATTGTTAATAGACTCTCCAACATATAATAAGTAGTAGCAGTCGCCAGTGAGCTCAGTGA